TACCAATGACATCTTTATCCTCAGCAGGCAAGTCTTCATAAGGCACCATAAAAATGTACTTGTTGTTGTGAACTAGTGAGTTTATTCAAGATTTAAACATGTCTTTGAATGTATACTATATTTGACTGGAATAGAGATAAAATAGTCGATCTTGCGGAATTAAGCCATCAATTATGAGATTTGAAGCATGACCAGATCAAAAGACAACCAATTCAGATGATATGATGGCGATCTATCTCTATCTCAATCGAGTGATTTTTTTATAATTAAGAAAACATTAATTATAACAAGATCGATAACTAGTGAATCAATCAAAAACAGTAAGGAAATCTTACTAATCTCAACAGATTCGAAAACTGGTAATATTGTATTAAGCAACAAGTTATTTAACACAAGATCGATAACTTTTATCTATATTATGATTCGTAAGAGACCAATCAGCTGATGTAGCCTTACAAACTACGATACAGATCGATAACTAACTTATATTAGGGACAATTGTCTAGTGAACATCCAAAGTGATGGTCGTTTGCTGGCGGACACCCCGTTTTGAGCAGTTTGCCAGAAGACACTCTGATTTGGTAAAATTAGGCCATAGAACACCGCGGACCGGTTGTAGCTGGTTGAGGAGAGAGAAAATTTTATTTTGGACATCCGGTGCCCTCCCCAACGCGACTCAACGACTCCTCTCTCGCTCCCCTCCCCTCTCTGCGGCTCTGCCCCACAGTGTCACGCACCCCTCCATCTCCCCTGAGGCAGCGGCGGGCGTAGGGCCACAACGCCCTCACCGGTGGCGCGCCGGCGCCAGCCTAGGCCCTGGTGGCTCTCCTCCCTCACCCCGACCCTCCCTAGATCCGTAGCTGCCGGTGCCCATCCTGAAGGTCCCCGCCGCCACTCGCACCACCCCGACGCCCATGACTGTGGCCACTGCTGCACCCACGACGTCAACGTCCACCTCCCTCTGCCTCGGCATCAGCCCCACATCCCCCGACGGGCGGCCGGCGGAGCCAGGGCAGCCTCCAGCCGGGAGCCGGTGGGGTACGTGCTTTGAGCTGTCGGTGGGGTACGTGCAGCTTCCCATGGGCATCGCATGCCACCTCCAGCTCAGCGGGCGCCAGCTCCCTTCTTCCTCAAGCAGGTCCACGATGACGCCGTCAGCGGGAGCAGTGCAGCGCTGCGACGGAGGTGGAGTCGAGCAACGCCTTCACCGCGGAGACGACCATGGCCATGGAGGACTCCGACAGCGCGGGCACGGTGCTCGCCAGCTCCTCCAGCGTGGCGGCATGGGAGGCCGCGGAGCCAAGAGACAAGCGCGTCTTCCGTGGTGGAATAGGAGGCGGCGGCGAGGAGGCACGCGTCGACAGCGAGCTGGGAGAGCAGGGCAGCGGTGGAGGAGAGCAACGAGAGGTGTGGAGGTGACCGAGCCTGGGCAGGCACGTCCCCTGCGGCGGGCAGGAAACAGAAAAAAAAGAGAGAAAGGGAGAGAGGAAGAAGAAAGCGGTAGGAACAAGAATGTCATTTCACCGCTGTTCTCTATCCTCAACCGACTGCAACCGGTCCGCGGTGTCCTGTGACCTAATTTCACCGAACCAGAGTGTCTTCTGGCAAACTGCTTAAAATAAGGTGTCTGTCAGCAAACGACCATCACTTTGGATGTCCGCTAGATAATTGTCCCCTTATATTATGGCTCGTAAAAGATCAATCGGCTGATGCAGCTTTACAAGCATAATACAAGTCGTGACGGTACTCACAAGCAAGCTGGAGGTCGATCAGTCGATGCAGCCCTGTTTGCTGAAGAACTCGTCGAGATCTACAGTACACCTACTCCTAATGCGATGACGAAAGCCGGAAAGGTTGTGTTGATTGAATGTTCGTCCCTTTTTATAATAACTCGGGTCTAATATTTAGACCCAGAACCTAAATATGGATTCTACTCAAATACAACTAATTACAATTCTTGGTTCTAACTTAATAATAACTTGGATCTCAATTTTTCTTATTCGTAGAGTCCGACACGTCTCCCTGGCGCCACTCAAGTATAGCCCATTGACGTCATCTGCTGACGTCATCCATAAAATAGTCGATTCTACCATTACATCTAAATCAGCAGATACCGATTCTCATTCAATCGATTCCTTGATGACATAATCCTGAAAACTTCAAATTCCGCGTTCTTCTTCCTAAATTTTGGTGTAAACAGTTTCCTACTAGGATAAGACCACCCCTCTATATATTAGAGGATCATGGCCAAATGAGTTTCCATCTATCCAATCGACACAAAAACACAATAAATCAATCTACTCCCTCTTTTTACCCTCTTTTCCTAATCTACCTTTTCTCCTCGTTCTTCGTTGATGCTGCATGGCTGGAGGATCGACGACGATGACGCTCTAGAGCGGTCAGGCCAGCTAGAGCAGCCCATAGCCACCGCATGCCCTGACGGGGTCCCTCCTAGGCGTGTGGGGTTTTGGGACTCAAGAGACCTCGTCGACGTGTCTTGCGTATCGCGCTCCCGGTGAGGGTTCTCCGGCGACGTGTCTTGCATATCGCGCTCATCGTTGGAGGCATAAGGTCTAGGTGTGGACATCCCCTAGGCGTCGTCCGATCCCAAAATCGGTTAGGCTCTACATCGAACGATCTAGCTCATTATCGAGTGTGTGACCTAATTAAGCGTTAACATGAGTGCTACTGGGCCGAACGTGCTTCTCCTCTGGGCCTTGCCGCTCCTGCAAATTGGGAGCCCAAACTGAAAACGTAGTATACGGTTAACTTTTAACGGATCGACCGGATCGCGCGCCCAAACCCAAACCCACCGGCGCGTTTGACCGCGTCTTGGTTTGGGCGCCGCCGGCGTCCTTGAATGAACGCGCCGCGCGGCGCCGCCTCCGAGATCGATGCGTGCCACTGGATCCGGGCAGGTCAACGTCTAGTTTACGAGGTGGAATGGGGCCCGCGAGTCCGCGACGGAGACGGAGGTTGCGACGTGCATGACTGACCCTACGGTGGCTTCGGACGATGCAAAAGGCACCTATGCAGGTGCACAGTGCACGCAATGTTTTTTTTTCGAACGTGCACTGTAGCACGTAAAGTGTAGTGAGTTCAAAGCGAGGCACCCGTATCGAGATGGATTACATACGTATATATACCAGTGCGAGTACACAGTGTGGTCCAGCTTATATAAGTTGTCTAAAATAAACTGAAACTGAAACCCAAACATCACGGTTTTTTTATAACTTTTTCTAGCCTTTTTCTCACCACAGCGTTCATTTATATCAAAATACAAAAGTTATTTTACAACCAACTTATCCTGACATTGTTTTCCCACCGTTTAGGTACCTTTCGTAACGGAGTGTTTCTTAGACCATGTTCGTTCCGCTGAAATTTGGCTTATGCTGATTCGTTGTGAGAGAAAATTTCGTGTCAAATATGATCAAAGCCGATGGAGGGGCACTAATTTGCGTTGCAGAAAGGAGCCACTCACCACACTTGCTTTGTTTCAAAGCGCACAGAACCGAGGTTACATGATCGTAGCAACTGAGGCTGGGTGGATCACGCTGTCGCTTCCTTGCAGCCGGCATGAAACCTGCCTGGTCTAGACAAGGATTTCGTGACGTTGGATTTTATTCGCCCAAGGTCCAAATCCTTGCAATCAATCCTCAGGGCAAAGGTGGCAACCAACGAAACAAGCTTCAAGTGTGCCGCGGATCGAAAGAGTACCGGCGAAGTACAAGTACGTGCTCTCGGCGAAGGCTCTGATTTCGTGTAACCAAGCTACAACCCCTGCTCTCGGCGAAGGCTCTCGGCGCCCGGTCCGGCCGGCCCTGACAATGACATCCTGACAGGCATGCAAAGCAGGTTTATGCTCCTAAATCCTAATCCATCTCTAACCAACCCATGCATGGATGCACATGCGCTGACATCATGCATGGACTCAGTAGGTCCCGACGATCTGCTGATGCATGGATACGATGCAAACAAATTTGTCTCTATTGCCTGCGCCCTGCTGTCACGTCCGCAAGCTGTGCGGCTGGACCTCGATCGATCGCATGCAACAAGTTGTGTTGCGCCCCGGGCCCCGGCCCATGTACGTGAACTAGCTGCTGCTCACACTTAATGGCAGGTGGGGTCCTCGTCATCAGATCATCACTCGCCTAATTAATCATGGAGTTCTACTGTGCAACTACAGAGAGAGGGAAAAAAGAGGGCTCATCGCGCCGGCTAGGCTATGTACATGTTCAGGAGGAGGAGGATGTATGCATGCTGCACATAAATACAGGCACATGCAGCTCTCAGTGAGCGTATTAAATGGTGGGGTTCTGGTAGGCGTACGCAGCCTGCCCTTTCTATCAGGATCTGCCTCACCTACCGGTCGGTGCCGGTCCGTGTATTAACCGGCCTGAGATCAACGTAAACTAGGCCGGTGATTGGAGGATCTTGTGCGTAGTAATACTGAGGATAAGCTCGAGATTAACTCCACAACGAACTCCATGAATCGTTGCTGAAGCGAGGTGTGTGTTCATGGAATGAATATAGTAGTGTAGAGATGAAAATCACCAAAGTTTTGACCCAAATTTTCTTTATAAATTTATACCCCTACTACTAAAAATGAAAATCGCCCGAAATTCGAAACCCTCTGCTCTTCCTACACATACAATTAATACTATACTCCTCCTACTACTACTACTACTAGTGGTACATTGCATTGGATCCTTCGATCCGCACCTACTACCACTAGTACATGTCACTAGTATTAGTAAAAAGAAAAAGAAGAACTCCGATCCGATCAAGAGTGTAGTGACAGCGTCCAATTAATCATCCTGTCGTTAACTAATTGGCTTGGTTAATCATCGGCAGAACACTAACCATCAGCAGGCAGGAGGTAAGGTATCGAGATTAGCAGGTCATCCATTCAGGCGACAAGCCGCAGTGGAGCACTACCGCTACCAGTGGCGCGGACACGAACACGATCGCCGTCGCTGCCAGTACCAGCACTCGCCTCGTCACCCTCCACCGCCTCCACGTCCAACTGGACGTCGGCCGCGGTAGGACGAGGAGGATGAGGAGGAGGAGCAAGGGGCGACATGGTTTACTCCGCCACGCTGGTGCTCCACCACCGCTGCTGCTGGTGCGGCGGTTGTGACGATGTCGCTGGTGGTAGCGGCCGTCGTGCTGGTGCAGCGGCTGCCGGTGGTGGTACTGCTACTGCTGCTCGTGGTGGTGGTGCTAGTCGTCTCGGCGGCGGTACTTGAGGGCGGGGAGGACGACGACGACAGGCCCAGGAGCAGGTCCACGAAGGCGCCGACGATGAGGTGGTGGTGCTGCTTGCCGTTGATCCGGAGGTACCACGCCAGGAGCTCCTCCAGTGCCGCCCAGTCGCGGAGCCCGTGCGCGGTCACCATCTCCTCCATCGACGCCCGGAAGTCGCCGTACGGGTCGCCCGAGTCCACCGCCACCGCCACGCTGCGCTCCGCCAGAGACATCTTCGCCGCCGCCGCCCTCGGCTGCTTCTTGACGTCGTCGTCGTCGTCGTCCGCGTCATCGGGGCCGCCGGGCGTATTTACCGTCGTCTTCTTCGCCTCCTCCGTCGCCGACGACGCCGAGACCGCCTTCTTCCTCGCCGTCGGCTCGGGGGCGGCGGCGGCGGCCGTGGCGAGGATGGAGTTGGACGCCGGCAGCGGGCCCGGCGGGTCGAAGAAGAAGCGGTCGGTGGACGTCCGGCCCAGGCTGCGGATCACGGCCTCCGACCACTCCTCGGACGCCGTGGTCGTCGAGAAGCTGTCGTCGTCGTCGTCATGGAGCGCCTCAGCTGTCCCCTCGTCGCCGTCGCCGGCGAGGGAGAAGAAGTCGTCCGCGGCGGGGTCGTCGAAGTAGACCGAGTTGACCGTCTTGTACATTTCGCCGGGCGCCGCCCCGTGGCCCATCACCATCGTCGGCTTCCCGGCACCTGCAGGGCTCCGGCGACCGGCTGCTGCCGTCGCCGTGCAGCATGGCTCGTCGTCGTCGCCAGCGGCGCCTAAGCGGAAGGAGGCCGTCTGCGGGTTGGTCCCGCACGGCGGCCACGGCCACGGCGGGGAGGCGGCGGCGGCGGCGGACGTGGAGGAGGGAGCGCCGGAGTCCACGAGCCGGGAGAAGATGGAGACCAGTCCTTTCCTGCCCATTTCTGGGACTGGGTGGGACGAACGGTGGATGGATCGACGTCGACGGAATGCAGTGGGGCGATGGGTGGTGGTGGTGGATGGAATGGAATGGAGTGAATTATTGCTGTCGCGCGAGTACTCGAGTGACGAGTCGAGCTCGAACGAATTGATGACCAGACGGATCGGAGAGGGAGAGGAACTCAAGTGGTGATTGAGGAGACGGGAGGAGGAAGATGAGATGAGATGAGAGTAGGATGGAGAGGCTGGGCCGCAGCTGGGCGCGTGCAAGCAAGCTCTGGCAGTCTGGCTGGCTGCCTGCAATTAAGGAGGAAGCGAGAAGAACATGGGGGTGGGCCCGTACTACTTGCGTTCTGTTCGTTAGATGGTGATTAGCAGAATGGACACGATTGGGCACTAGAGACGACTGTACCATTTCTTTCTTTTTTTGAAATTGAAAAAATGAAAGGGACTGTGCCATTGTTTGGTACGCGCGACACTTCTATAGCACAAAAATGCCAAGTTCAAATTTTGGCAAGTTGTTCCCACCAAAATTTGGTTGCGCTTTTTCTCCGCTCACAAATTGCTGTGGCAAAAGCGGCTGTAGCCGAACGTGCCGCATAAGTTAAAATTTTGGCATGTAAGTTTGCATCCAAATTTAGAGCCCGTTTGGCCGGGCTCCGAGCGGCTCCGACTCCTCTAACTCCTTCCCTGTTCATCTCCTGTAGCAACACTGTTCACCGGAGCCGTTTTTCTCTCTCCTCCTTTCCTCTCTCACTGATAGCGCCGGAGCCGGAGAAGCTCGTTTTTTCTCCTCCGGCTCCACCTCCTGTGCGCTACGGTTGAGACTAATTGGGAGCCAGAGCCGGCGCGAGCCCGGCCAAACGCGTCCTTAGTTTTTTTCCGGCTACTCTGGAAAAACCAGGGGGTGTTTGGTTCCCCTACTAAAATTTAGTCCATATCACATCGAATGTTTGGACACATACATGTAGTACTAAACGTAGACTAATTATAAAACTAATTGCACAGATTGAGACTAATTTACGAGACGAATCTATTAAGCCTAATTAGGCTCATGTTTAGTCTTTCTAATTAGTATCTAAATACCCGATGCGACATCTACTAAACTTTAGTCCCTGTCACTGTTAACGACAAAAAATGCTAATCCGCTTGTTGGCCGAGTGTATGGATTCACTCAGGCGTGGTTGGATGGATACATAAGTTTTGATGATGACATGAATGTCTCATTCGGATTGGTCGGCGGAGTGCATAAGTTTATTTTTACTCGACTATATTTCACTCGAAATCGGTTTAGTTGACTCGGGTCAGTCGTCAACAATGGGTGATGCCTTTAGATTAGTAGGAGACAAATTGGCGGTGCACTCAGACTAGTAAGGCCTCGTTCGGTTGTTTCGGAATGAGGTCAAGATTTGTTCCGGCTATTCAATCACTATATAAATTAGCCTATCGTTTCATGTGGACATCTTCCATGCCACGATTGCGAGAAAAACCAACGGGCCCTAAGCAAGAAGGGCTAAGATAGTCTTGTTAGTTGTTAGCACTAGAAATCTGGCCAATCAACGCTTACACGTATCCATCGGGAGGGAGATGGAGTCCGGATTAAAGACCTGCAAAGCTCATTTATATGCAGCTGTGAATGACCAGAAGGGAAAAGAATATCTTCTGAAGGAGAATAGAGTTGCTGTATACAGTCTGGACTTTAGATTTTCTACTAGAGCCTTGTTTAGATTGAGGCTAGGAATCAGTATTTGGCACTGTAGCATTTTCGTTTGTATTTGATAATTATTGTCCAATTATGGTCTAACTAGGCTCAAAAGATTCGTCTCGTAATTTACAATCAAACTATGTAATTAGTTATTTTTTTATCTACATTGTCCAAAGATTTGATGTGATGAAGAGAGTGAAAAAACTTATAATCTAAACAAGGCCTAGCATAAATGTAAGGGCAACAGCCAATTGAGGAAACCCAATCTGTCTTTTAAGCCCCGAGGAATGAAGAAATCACGGCCTCGAAACCCTACATGCAGTCCTTTAAAACAGTGGTAGTGCCGGTTCAACAAAACCTCTCTTTTCGCTTCACATGAAATGGTGTGATTTGGATGAATCTCTAACACCAGAATGTGTTTGTTTAGTTTGTTCAGCCTTTCCAATGTGAGAGCCGTAACATTGTACACAACTTTTGTACTAAATCCATATCCCATAAACATGTAATCTTTGTGGTGGTTAAGTGCTTTAGTGCAATGAAATTACATAATTAACCATCTTTTTCCAGTTGAACCGTGCTTCAAACAGAGTAGATGCTCTTGATTGATAACCAAAGGTCAGCAGTCACCACGCCGAATTATTTGCACCACGCCACACTTGCTTGGATCAGCGTTTGTTTCGTGACCGCACCTTAGGCATGTCATACTTGCTTAGAGTTGTTTTCATCTCTTCTCGTGCCAAAAGTGTAGCATTTGGGGCATATTTGGAAGGCAACTCCAACTAGCCGTGCGAAGGCGAAGCCTACCATGCCATGCCACGAGCGTGCGGCGAACAAATTGTCGGCTAAACTTTTATTTGGTCAGACAGCATGTGAAAATGAGCGTCATGCTTGTTCCTCTATGTTTAATGGCGTTGTGAACTACGCGCATCTCGCTCGTAGACATCAAACAGCCTGTTCGCTTATCGTATTTGGCTTATAAGCTATGGCTTATCGGCCAACGAACATTATTTTTCTCTCACACCAAATCAACTAACAGTACTCTCAGTCATGGCTTATAAGTCAAACCAGCCCAAACGAATAGGGCGAAAGTCTACATTTTGCTACCCTCTTAATGAAATACATGCTTAGAGCGCGTTCGCGAAAAAATGAGAGGGGATGCGGGCGTGGAGCGGATGGCGCGCCAGAACCTTTGGCGGGCAGCGGCACGAAGGCAAACACCTTTAAGGGAGAGTGCAGCTTGTCTCAACTTCTCTGCGTGGTTGGTTTTGATCGGCTCCCAAACAGACTCGTGTTTTGCTCGCCACGGGTTCGATGCAGCCAAATTGCCAGAAACCCAACATGGCAAGTTTACAACACATACTGTACCAAACACGCGGCGCGGCAAGTTCTGCATGATGACTAGCTACATGACGCGGCAAGCGGATGGAGTTTTGAGAATACAAGAGGCAACCTACTACGGCTTATCCAGCTAAGCACCCTGTGACCCTGACAGTAAGCGCTGCTATTTACATGCGAGGCGAGTAGACGCGGAAAGGATTTCGAAAGAGACCTTGCACGAGTGGCATAGCAAGTACTGTACTCGTGTTGCAACTTGCAATTGCAAATGGGGTTACTTGTTGTGGTACCGGCCTAACGTCCCGGTAGTTGACGGGTTGGTGGCCGCAGTGAATTACACGGTCTGGGGTTTGCCTGCTCTGGTTGGCAGTTTGGCACTGTGCATGCATGGTGGGCACTCGGCCGGCAGCGGCAGGCAATGGCAATCTGTGCTGTGCGTGTGCGACGGGCTGCGGCGGAGACCGTGACCGCACTAGCGGCGGGGAAAATGAAAAAAAAAAATGCAGCGTTCCGCTGTAGGTTCGCAGTGGTTCAGACTTCAGAATAGCAAAATGCTCTGTCGCGGAGATTTCGTTGTCGATGCTTGCATGTGCATGTTAGTGTATGGGACATGTTTGTTGCCGAGTATAATCGTTGCACGGTAACATCGATTTCGTCTAGAGAAGGAAATATAAATTTTGGGACCTGACAGACTAATATATTGCTAAGTATGCGTAGTAGTTTAAGACGAGTAAAGAGTTCCCAATCTCATCTCTCAATATATACTTTCTGATGAGTTGAAAACTTTACTGTTTTAGAAAGAAATTCGTAAGAGCCAGTTTAGTTCACTTCATTTTGCCAAAATTTTCAAAGATTTCCCGTCACATCGAATCTTTGGACGCATGCATGAAGCATTAAATATAAATAAAAAATAAAACTAATTACACAGTTTAGACAAAATCCACGAGACGAATCTTTTAAGTCTAATTAGACTATGATTGGACACTAATTACTAAATAACAACGAAAATACTACAGTAGCATTTCGCCAAAAAATTTGCCAACCAAACAGGCCCTAACTCTCGGAGATGCTCTTAACTTCTTTAGTAGTAACATGCATGCCCTGGTAACTAAACTGGGTAGGTTTGAACATTTGGCCCTTTTTGACCTCTTTCACTCCCTATAATAATGGGCTACTGCTGTAGTACTTACACAGAAGCACTGTTCCGTCATCCGTGGATGCGGAATATATAGGGGGGAGACAGGCATTTATGAACACGATAAAAATGGAAAGATTTGCACCGTGCACGTTCCAATTCGTGGCCATGTGCGCGCATTTCTCTCTTTTCCGGTCTTTTCACTCTCAACACACACACACACCCCCCACACCCCACACACACACACACAAATGTTTAATAGTCAGTAATGACTAATTTAGATAGGTACAAAACAAATCTATCCCTAATAATAAAAAGATAAAATTTCTATCCGCTTTAGATTTTCGTCCAGCCCAACTATTCACTTGGTTTCGACCTGAAACTGGTCGGACTCATGTTGGGCTTCCGAGTGGTATTCAGCCCGTGACTTTCCTTTTTTTCCGCTTATCCTATTCCAATTCCAATCGCACGCACGCTGTACCTTCGTACGCACACGCCGCACGCCGCTCCGAGTTCGCCTTCCCTTCCTCCGTCTCCGTCACAGATCCGCAAGAATGCTGCGCCGCCGTACGCACATGCCGGCGTCGCGCCGCTCCGAGTTCGGCTCGGCCCTCCCTCCCTCCGTGTCTGACGCAGCGCCGCCACTCCTCCCGTCTCGCGTGCAGCGCTAATGCTCAATGGAGCAGTCTGCGCTGCCTCCTCCCGGGCCCTGCTGCCGCAAGCTGGCGCCGCTGCATTGGTCGACGTTCATGGCATCACCGACGCTCCATCCACGTAGAGAGTTGGAATCGAAATCCAATCTAACGAAGAAACCAGCTCGAATCGGGA